GTTAAGAGCTTAGAGTCTTACTCAATGAGCTTGTTCTATATATCTTTATTCAGTCTCTTTATAAATATCATCATTCAGATCTTGTTTCAGAGCCCTGTTTTCACAGATCTCAATTCATATCATAATTTTATAAAGTGCTGTGAGTAGTCTTTATCAGATTTCTCATCTCTTTTTCTAATATTAATAATTATAGCTCAGATGTTCTCTGTTCAGTTTATAAAGTCTTTTAACTTATTCTCTAGATAGATCTTGAGAACAGATCAGTAGAATCTCTTGTGATTATTCTCTAGATAATTTAGTCAGTTCTTGACTTCAGTGTAGTAGAGATCTGTTATTATATAGATAATAGCTTCTTCATCTTTCATATCACACAGCTGAGCTTGTGACTTAATTTTAAATACAAACTTGTAAAAGCTTTTATAGATTGTGATTCAGTAAGTGATCTTAAGTAGTTATAACTTAAGAAAGCTTCTTTTCAGTTTGTAGATATCTCTGAAGATCATGTCTAGAGACTTAATTCAAGAGTGTTTATAGACAGTAAGTATTTCTTATAGAAAAATAGCTTGATTCTGTAGAAGATGCTTAAGAATGTTCTTCACTGAGATTGATTTATTTGTGAGTTTAGACAGTTTCTCTGTCACAGATACAGAGAATGATATTCTGTGAGTAATTAATAAGTTCTCTGAGACTTCTTTCACAGAGATTATTCATGATTCAGATAACTACTTCTGAGTGTCTGTAGTAGAGTTTACAGAAATTGAAGTATACAAGTTTCTAGTTCTTTAAGTTATAACAGGCAGTTACTGACTGACTGAGCTTGAAATATAAGAATAAGAGCCCACAGATAATTATTCAGATGTTTGCAGCTTGACATGATATATACTGTTAACTACTAGAAGTATTCATGATAGAAAGATAAAATGTAGAGATTAAATGTATAATAGCATTTAAGCTGAGTTATGAATAGTATTCATGAACTCCAGTCTATATAGTTGTGTGTAGTCAAGGGCTGCTAACTCTATAGTTACGCGAGAGATAGGAATAGAGGTAAAGAATCCGTGAGGAGCGGGATTTCTTACATTAACAACATTCTTTAGAAAAAGCATGAAATAGAAATCTATTATAGATTTAACTTTCATGTTATAAAATCTAATTGAAAAAAGACTAATAAACTGATTTATTAATTCACATGAAACCTCAGAATCAGATCATAAGATTATTCAATTTGATATTGAACTGAGTGAAAAATAAAGAAGTAAAAATCCTCTTCTCTCTAATCAGTATAACTTTAAAGAAGCTGATTGAAAAGCAGTTAAAGAAAGAGTAAAACAGCTGAAATCTGAAAAGCAGAGTAAGCTCTATTGAAATCAAAGTCAAGATATCTCAAATAAAATATTTAAGAATAGAGTAAAGCTGATTATATCTATTCTTTTAACAAGTATTAGAGAAAATATTTCAAAGAAAAAGTCTTCTGAGTATTTCAAATCTTGATGAAATGAGAATATCACTTCTAAAAGAAAGCAATTAGTCACTGCTAAGAGAGATTGAAAGAATAACTTAATATCTGATGAAGAGTTCAAATCTATTCAAAATAAATATTTTTCAGATATTAAAAGAGTTAAAACAGATTACTGAAACAAATTTATTGAAGAAGTATAAGAAAAAGAAGTTTTTAAAGCCTTTAACTATACTAAAACAAGAAGTGTAGCAAAGCTTTCAACCTTAGAATATGAATTTCAGAATGAATTGTATACAGCAAACTCTTTTAAGAAAAAGTATCAAGCTTTTATAAGAATTCTCTTTCAAAACTCATCACATTTGAAAGAAGAGAATATGACATTTCATGAATATATTGATGAAAATAACTGGGAATGGCCTGAGCTTATATAGAATGAACTAGAGTCAGCAATATTCTCAAGTTTAATTAAAACTGCTGCAGGGCCTGATTCAATTAAGCAATTAATTATTTAAAACATATATTTCTACTTGAAGAATGAATATTTTGAGCTCTTTTTCAATCTCTTAAAAAATGATTATCATTCTGAATACTGAAGAGAAGCTTCTGAAGTAATTCTTGTAAAATCTAATAGAAAAGCTTCAATTTCTAAGTTATATAGAGTAATATCTCTGTTGAACTGTTTAAGAAAAATTCTAGAAAAAATAATAGCTACTAGATTATCTTTTATAAGCTCTATTAGTGATTCTCTTCTATTAATGAATAAATGAGAGATAGAAAACAATGTTCTGTAATAACACTGT